ATAATTGTTTGAGCTATCAGTCTTTTACTCAAAATGTTACTAACGATGCAGACATAAGATGATTTTTGCAGGGCATTTACCAGCTGAGACCATCTCAACTGAAATATAGATACTGTGGTTATTCTCAACCAACCAAAGGAGTTACTGGTAAGCTATGTAGATATTTGAATGTTGAAATTAGCAACACTGGTAGTTCTAACCTCAGGTCAGAGTTTGCAAACTAATTGAAACAGACAACATCCAGATTGGGTTGAATAATATTGAAATTGGGATTTCTCAGTTTTTGAAAGTTTCGGGGTTACTCATGTGGCAACCACTTTTAGTTTTACCGTATTATACGCCCAAATGTCTGTGCAGTCAAAGTATTTATTCGTCACTGAACAGTAACTTCATCATGGTGCCTCTGCTCCCAGATGGATGAAGTCGGTTTTAGCAGAGAGTGTCACAATTGACAGCCCACAGTACATGAAATGCGTCTACCTCACCGCCTGCTAAATTATAGTAGTCTCAGGCTCGTGGCGGGCTGGAGTGCGTTTTCTGAGATACGTCACAAATCTCTTATGCTAAACAACAGCTTTGCTCAAGCGGCATTTGAGGTGAACCAAGTCTCCACACCTTAAACATTACTATGTTATTACGTTATTTGCTTATTACCATGTAACGGCTGGTAATTTTAGAACCAGATACGTCATATTACCTGTTGCTAAAAGCCCTAACTTGAGTCGTTACAATGGAAATGTACATTTAGTTGACACATACATTGCGTACAATTTGTGTAGTGGTGTACAACCTATCGTTCACTATTGCAGAGCGTTAGTAGTATGTTGTTGCAACTAGCTTTGAACATCTACGATATGTATTCTGAATATTTACTTCGGCGAGGAAGGAACATAACTACATAATCAAACGAACTTACCTGTAAGTGATGTTCTATCTTAATTATGTGAAGGTCTTGTCGAAGTTAATAGCTCCCTCGCTTCCTATGTATCACCCAATTGTTGCAACAACTTGGCTTTGAAGAAAATGGAGGTCTATAGGCGACCAGAGGGGAGGAAGGTAGAGGAAGGGGTGCGGAACCGCTTTTCTTCGCTGCGTGCGCACCTTGAAATCGTGGGGGTCGGGTACTACTACGAGGGTACTACGATATGTATTCTAAATATTTACTTCGACAAGTAACTCACATAATTAGGATCGAAAATCACTTACAGGTAAGTTAGTTTGACCATGTAATTATAACCGTTTAGCGTACATTCCTAACCCTGAATTTGTCCTATACTGGCTAAATTTTGGAAACCACATTGTGTTGCCTCTCTTTCGATATTGGTTGTGGAATATTGGCACAATGTTGGAATTGCGTTCGTTAATACAATATAGTACTAATATTGTCGATCAATGTTACTTCAATATTGTTTATACGATATTTCACGAGTATCAATCACTGTAGAATGACAGCTGGTTATCTAGTGTTACTTCAACATTCGTCATATCATGTACCAGTCCACCAGTAACATACTGTCGTTAGTGCAAATCAATCTTGAGTCTAAAAAGAAACTGATTGATTTTCATCTTCTTTTTCGATTGTGAACTGAATGTAAGGGTCATAGCTATTGAAATCTTCACCAATACTATTCACTCCCTCAGAAGGAAGGCAAACAATAATATCCTCCACATGTTTTTTATGAAGATTACGTTATAGGGCAATACTTGAATAACAATATCTGCCAAAATTGGATATAATACTGAGCCCATTGGGCAGTAATGTGTTTATGAGAAGACTTTGTTATTAAGCGTGAAATAATTGTTTTCTAAAAGGTACTCTGAAATATTAATTGTGCTGTTTGCTGAGGCGATTTTTTTAATATCGTTTTTTATTTGGCTCTCCATGTACTAATAATTAGGTTACGTTATTGCTGTTAGATTATTTTCTTTTGTGTGGGTGATCAAGCAAAACAAGTTCCGATTAACACCTCGGGGATTTGTTTCTTAATCCGTCATAAGTCACTGGCGCCCTTAACCCCCTCTCCCTACTCTCCGCTTTATTGAGCTGGAGTCTAAATTTGCACGCCACTAGAGAACTGTTTTGCATTGGCCGACCCGTAGACTTCATTTATTGTGCTTTATTCATTAGTTCATGAATTAATTTCAAAGAAAAGGAAAGAGGAATCCCACTATCTTTGCCTTTTATTTATAAAAAAAGGCGTGGCTCCCCAGCAATTCTTCAACTAATAATAATGATAATATTATGGACAATGCTTCCAATCCCAGAGTTAGCTATGTTATCTTGCCATGCATCAAAGAATTAACTCTTAAACTGATCAGGTTCTATAACTCCTTAAATTGTCGTTTTGCTTGTAAATCAGTTCTCACAATTAACAGTGTTTTTCCAAAATGAAAGATAGGGTTCCGTTGCTTGACTTAAGCAACACTGTATATTGCATTCATTGTAACAACTGTAATTTAGTTTACCTAGGCCAAACATCTAGACCATTAAGAGGCTGGATAACCTTACACAAAAGTGACGCCAGATTTCACACAGACAGATGTGCTTTGGCATCACATGTCAACACTACAGGTCATTCTATGAGTTATATGACAGTATTAGGTTTCTTGACAAAGAAGGACACCTTTCAAAACGTCTATTTTTAGGAATGACGCACGTTTTCATGACAGATCCCTGTATGAATGAAAAGGCTGATGTTAAGCAATTTAGTATCATTTATTCCTACTTGTTGAACTACAAACAATTAGAACGACTACATATTCCAGTTATTCCAACATCTTCCCAACAATAGAGCATAAATTTCCATTATATATTCCGTAAAATAGAGGATTTTTTCAAGGTTTCGTAGTAATAATAAATATTAAAACTTTTCACACACCGCATCTTTTCTGGTGTGTCATTAACATCATATGTTGATAGTTCATCATTTCGGGAAATATGAAAAGTTTTTTTGAACGCCCCTCGTAGGCACTATACCTGAAAATTTGGCAATAATTTTCACATTTCCACATTCTTTCATGGCGTACATCTATCTACCACCTCACATTTCCGGTTTCGTTCACTGTCACCACGTGCAACAAGTATACGATATTAAAGAGAAGTTTTTGTTCACCAAAATGTAGTGTTTTCTTATGAGTATGTTTTCCAATTTTTAATTTGTTGGGCTTATTGTTATATGGTTGCAACACCTAGCTATGTGTTCCGTCCTTAACAACAAAACCCAATGTATCCGGTCTTTTGGTTTTATAATTGCAACAAGTGTTCCAGGCTTACGTTTTAAAACACCATTTAGCCTCACCGACGAGTAAGTGATTTTAAAATTTAAATCTGATCTAAGTTGGTTGCTATTTTCATAATTGTGTTTCAGCTCCTGAAGATAACATAGTTTGTCGAAAGCTCGAGATTACCGTCAAAAGGGTTTACTAAGCTTTAAGTTTTGCCAATGCCCAATAAACTATATATATATATATTAATTTATTTTCATCTGTCCGTCTTATCCAAATTATGATTCACCTCGCAACAGAGATAGTACTTCTGACCTGCATTTCGAGAGTACACCGGTATAGTGGCTACTGGAAAAGAATGTAAGATGATACAAATACATTATTTTGTCACTTTAGAAGTCACTCGTAGTCAAATCTACGCAAAGTATGCACCGAATCTCCGTTATTTGGCGTCAAACAACGCTTTGTATGCTTGACTCCTTTTTTCAACCTATCCATAATTCGTAGATTTAATGATACGAGATGTCACATGGATGGATTTCAGGTTCCACCAGCTCAATATTATAAAGCATTACTAGCTATCCAAATTTGTTGCCAAAACGTGTATCTTTGTTTATATACTGTTATATACTGTTTCTAGTATGAATATTCAAAATTACAAAACGAAAAATCCGGATTGTCTTGGACTACAGAATATACATAACTCAATCCAGCGCTGCTAATGTCTTCACTGTTTCGATACACGCGTATGTTTTAGAACACTCATTCTCGAATAGTTTTTTTTATGTTTATATAATATTGATTATAGTTTCACCTGATTGATTGTACTTATTACATAAGAGACATAACACACATTCATATTGTAAACATTAACCGACTAAATCTAACTATAGGGTGTTGATACAACTTATTCTGCCAGTCACTGAGCATGTATACGTTTTTATATGAAACTGTATGTATGACTTTGTGATTTGAAAGAAGATGCAGTTGAAAATTTAGTGTTTTACGGGCTGTTGACATATTCATGGGGGAAAACTCATGATCCGTTGAAGCATATTGAAAAACAAAAAAAGTGGCATCTCCTACGGAATAATTTAATCCAGTTTTCTACCTTACGGTTATAAAAACGCTTTCCTGGTTTGAAATAGAACAATCAAGGGGGTTCCAGCTCTAGAATTTTGTATACGTACTCAAGGTTTAGAGAGCAAAAAAAAAGAGGCTGCATACACGCTGCATGAAGAACGTACTGAATACTGCAATCCCGATTCCGAGATAACATTAAGAAATATGAGTTGTGTATAAAAAATACTAAATATAATATAAGAGTCAGAGCTATAGACCTTCCGTGAGGCGTAAGGCTTCTTGGGAAACAATGGCTATTAGATATCTCCTTGAAACAGTGAAACAATGTCGCTTGATTGAGGAACGTTCAAGGCAGGAATTAGATACTCATTTCACAGTAGGGTGTAACGGTTGTCATCACAAGCTCTCCTCGATGTCAGAGTTATCTTTCCTGGCCGTATCCATTTACCATTTTGATGATAAAATTGGAACGATTTGGTCTATTCGTGCCAAACAACAATAAAAAATGCAAAATAATGATGTTTTTTTCCTCGAGCTACAGCACAGTTACGAGAAGTAATAAAACTGAATAAAGGCAACCAGTGCACCCAACTACTAGATGCAAGTTGTCGACTATGTCTATCAGATTCAGCGTAAATACTTATAGATAAGATGTTTCTGGTTGATATATTGGATAGATTTATATAAACAATTGAAAATAAGAAAACCAGCGGCCTCTCTGTACATCTAAAAAACAATGCATGAGAGGTAGTAGCAAAAATATATAATAGACCAATACACATAAGAGAACTAGACAGCGGCTATAAAAATTATGGCAGAACCTCAAACAAAGGTAAGCAAAACATTTTTGTAACAGCTATGGAAGTAAGGATAGTCGATGAATCAATTTTTATAAAGCAGAATATTCTATGAGCATTACCAGTCAAAAAAGATGGTGTTGAAAACAATAATTCATAGAGACTATGGTTATCCATCTATCTGTTGCAAATAGGGTGATGGTACACTTAACATAACCACTTATTTAGGGGTTATTGCAGGTTTCACGTGCACACAACAGTTTACTATGTGATCTTGCACAAAAAAAAATCATTTTCCAGCTATACCTTGACGTCAAGTACAAAATAAGTGACAGGAGGAGAAAGTCACAGGAGATATGATAATGGAAATAAAAGTAGACATTAAAAAGATATATTTGCCAAAAATAACTGTCGATCACCTACAAACAATTACAACATCTATAGCCAAGAGAAAAATTCTCTTGGGCTGGATTCGAACCCGCCCAGCGCACGGTGACTGATTAGGAGGCCGTAGCGTAGCGTCCGTAGCTACCACTACTGCCCCAAAATTAACAAAGGAAATGAACTAAAACAATATTTTCTAAAATAACATAAACAATAAATAATCAAAAACTGCAAATAAAAATAGTATCTTAAACAGTATTTTCTAAAACAACGTAAAGATCAAATGAACTAAAAATATAATGCAGCCCTGTAAAAATCCGCATCCATTCTGTCCTGTGATCGATAATCGATGTCCTGTGGTCTATTCTTCAATGTCACCTGTTTTGTATTGTTTATGACGCCAAGGTATTGCTGGAAAATGGTGTTTTGCAAAAACAAATTTTCATATAAAAAGTGTTCTATCCAAGATTTTTTTGTGCAGAATTACATATTACACTGTTATGTACACGTTAAACCATCAATAACACTTAAATATGTGATTATGGTATGTGCACCATCACTCCAAGTAGTTCTGATGTGGTCCCATCATGTTTTGAGTTGTTTGCTTGTTATTATGTATGTGTTGCATTATTTTGGATGTATCATTTTCATTTAAGCTTTCTGAAATTTGCTCTTCAAACTCATTAAGAAGCTAACTGGCTTTGTTTCCAATGATCCGTTTAAATTTTCGATTAAATGCAACTTCTCCTCATCGCTAAACTTCTTTTTTTAAACTGTCACGTTATAATTTGTAATGATATAAAATTTGGGAATCCAAATAAGTATATGTTTTTTTTGTGAAATACTGTAGCAGTTGAATCTGACTGCAATCAGTTGAGCAGTTGGATGCAACGATGGCCTATATTCAGTTTTTCACTTCTCACAATTATTATTTAGCATTTTTTATTGATGTTAAGCACAAATACATCAAATCGCCACAACTTCATCAACAAAATGTCAATAAATATATACGACCAGCAAGGAAAAGTCGCTGACGCTTGTGATGAGGACTGATACAGACTACTGTAAAATGAAAGTTTAAGCCTTCCACTGAACGTTCGTCAAGAAAGCGTTATTGTTTCACTGTTTTCAGGGAGATATTTCATATCCATTGTTTCCAAAGAAGCCTCACGACTCAAGACTCAAGTAAGGTCTATCTAAATCTCAGGAAGCGACCGACTATAACATCTTTTAAGAGACATCCAAAAATTCTTCCTTTTTGGGTATGTTTATATTTGTTTGTTGTTCTTAAATAATTTCTAGCTAACCTTTGGGTACTTTAGACGTTCCTCGATTACACAGGGAGTTTGGAATGTCGATGCGAGTCATTCAAAGAGTGCAAAACCTATTTGGAAAACACTGAACCACATACACTGAGAACCAGATTAGTCTGAAATGTATATATATATATATATATATATATACAGGGTGACTTTGAAGTTGAGTCATTAATTTTCAGATAATGATTGTAGAGGGAAGATAAACCAAAATATGTGTGTAAAAATAAAAAAAAATTTTTTTTTTACTTTGTTTTATAAAGTATCCTCCCGACAAGTATTTCAGTGCGGACCTGTATTTGATCGTGAGGTCTTGGAGCATCGGCATGCAGTCCCCCATGTGGTCTTAAGTCACCTGATTCACGAGCCCGTTGTACTACATTAACAAAGGCACGAGGGGTTGGTTGCACTCGATTGGGAAACCGATCCGCATAAACATGTGCCATTTTTTATTTCGTTTGAGCCACGCAACAGACACCACTATTCAAACGCGTTACCGACTGACACTGACTGTATACAACTGACTAAAATAATTGTAAAAACATCGTTCCAAATTCTTTCGCTTTTTTGTTTCCGATGCGATGAACCAAACACGAGCACATAATATTATTATTGAGACAGGGCGGTACTCAAACTTCCAAAGGGCTATAACTTTGTTACTTTAATTTTACCAGAGAAATGGTAAAGGAAAAAACATTTCCTTTGATCAGATCTACTCACTGTTAAAATAAATGACTCAACTTCGAAGTCACCCTGTATATATACTATATATATATATATATATATATATATATATATAATATGTTAGAAACAAATAGACGCCGCCTGGACAGCGAAGCTAATCGCCGCGTTGCTTAGCAACCCGCTGACGCGGCAATCTGCAGCGTTGCCAATATGTTACACCAGTTCCTTGAATTAAGATGGATATCGAAAATATGCGTTAGTTTATGCATTCTGCCCAAATAATGGTTTTATTTTGAGCGTTTACAATTTTGAAATGTGTCGAACCTGGTTAGGATTGATTCCCAATCGGTCCTAACGGCGTTCCATTTGAAGTCGAAATGAAAGGTCAGGATTGCCGCCAATTCTGTAACATTGCATCACTGGTTCGTTTGATAACAACAATTCTTGTACAAGTAAGTAATAACTTGTATTGCCTAATGTTATTTGTTACATTTTGCGACAGCGCTGCGAATGTGTTGATTTTATCAACATCGGTGAAAATCAAAAATAATTCTAAAATAAGTTGAAACACTTAGTCGTATCAAAACTGAAATAAATAATTCCAGTCAAAATGTAAACAATATTGTTGAAAACCAGAAGACATCCGAAGAACGGAACAACGTGGCAACGTCGAGCCAGGCCTAGGGATGTTCCGATCCACGTAAAATATCGATACCAAGTATCGATCCGTATCGTTTAATGGAGTATCGATCCATTAAAATGTCGGAATAAAAATATCGATCCCATGAGTATTGATACCTTTCGACTATACACTGCCGAAAATCGAAGATGCTTTTTTACAACCCTCTAAATAACGTCACTTTTTTCAACTGCATGACGACTGTCAAATAAGTTCACAAAGAAAAGGTAAAAAAATAAATACTAAGAAATTCATTACAAAACGATTATTTATTTATTATTAACATAAAATATATAAACATAGGGTATTAAAAACAATACTACAAATAACTCGAAGTTAGAAATCTTAAAAATGCCATTCTTCAGCACTCAGCGAATGTAAGAATAATTTGACATTCGATCACCAGATAATCTGTTTCGGGTTTGGTAGTGTATATTTCCGGCTTCATAAAAGAGTGTCTCTGAGGGAACTGATGTGCTAACAACAGAGAGATATTTATCAGCCAGTTCTTTAAATACCTCTGAGGAAGAACTTGAGCTATTCCAGTACAAAAAGGGATCCGAGTTTAGGGGCATAGTAGAACTATTGAAATACAGTTTTAGTTCAAGGTCAATATCTGATTTGGTATCATCATATGTATCTGTATGATTTTGGGCTAGTTTTTCATGGTAGACCCAAACACTGTCAGATTTTTCAAGAATATTAACTTGATTTTGCCCTGCCTTTTCTGTCGCAACTGAAATGATTGATTCAGGAAGGTGACTGCATTAGCACAAGACATTGGACTGTTGAAGTGCAATCGTTTAAAATGAGAATCTAGGATATTTGGGACAGCTAAAAGTTTCATCTGCTCGATGCTCCCAAAACGTTTTAAAAGTTCCTCGAGTGTTAGTGTTTTAAGAGCTAAAGCCTCTGTTGTTGAAGTAGTAAAATTTTCAATTTCTTTCAAGCGGCAATTTACAATGGGTATAACTTTACTGCAGATTAAATATTTCTCCTCACACATCTCTCTAGAAACTGCCTCTACTGGGGCTGAAATACTTAAAACCTCTTTTACTGTTTCCAATTCTAAAACACTTAACATTTCTGGACACTTGGGATTTTTTATTAAAATAACAGCCACATATTCATGGTGTTTGACAAATCATTCTAACATAAAATATTTTGAATTCCATCTGGTTGGCACTGATTGAATTAGTCTAAGGGCGCTTTGATGCTGTTGCGCTTTACTTAACTGATCTGATGCTGCAACACTTTGTTTGAAATATGTAACAGACATATGACACTAATGAAAGCGGTAAATTTAAACTGAATTGCCACAGGAAACAGGAACTCATCGAAATTCGAAGAAGAAACTTATTTGCCAGACCATGGAAAATAGATAATTTTACGTATATAAAAAATCGATCCAAAATATCGGGTATCGGAGACAAAAGTATCGATACTCGTAAATATCGGATCGTACCGAATGTCCCTAGCCAGGCCGACCGGCCTCCCTCTCTTTTAGAGATGATCAAACTTGCGATTTCGTGATCCCAGTTAAAGCTGCGATTGCGATTTACCACTCACTGCGAGTGCAACCTGTAAAAGGTTATTATTGGTCATATTTAACTGTTATGTGTAAACAACTGTTATCACACAAAATGAAGTAACATTGTATTTATGTTATAAAGATTAGGAGAAATGATACCTTTTTTTTAAATCTTATTATTCCAAATTTGTAGATTTTATTAAAAATGAAAACAAATGTCTCTTATAATTATAATTTTAATTAGAAGAATGTAAAAACTAAACCCAACAGGTAATATGTTAAACTGCAAACATTTATTTTCAAGAACTTAACAAGGTTGGTTTATTTGACTTACTACCATGTTTATAAAATATATTTCTGAAAAACAAAAACAATAAATTCTTTTAAATAAAAAAACTAAAACCAAATCATCACAGGAAATATAGGAACCATTTGTTTTTCCAGACTTACAAAATTTCGTTTATCTCACTTATTAACTTTAATAATATTTATAAAACATATTTCTGAAAAACAAAAAAAAATATTTCTGCTGAAATAAAAACGAACTTAACTTAAATCTTTTCAGGTACATATTAAAAGGAACCACGTAAATCTATAAATTAAAATGTCTGATATTTAAAATAGGTAACTCAAATTAAAATTGACACTTATCATTATGGTGCACCTGTTTTACGTTGGTATTTAAAAATTAAAGCATTTTGACAGGGAACGGACGTTACGCATACACTAAGTCTCTCCTGCGCAACACAAGCAAGGTGCGGAAACAAATATTTATTTTCGATCCACCATTTCAGTGCAAGTTCACAATCTAAAAATCGTTGAACTTCTAATATAGCCTCAGTTGTAGAAGTTCCTACAGTGGTTGGTTGATATCGTTCAGCTTGACTCCGTTTGAAATGTCCTACAATATGTTTCACTCGTCCGGTAACTGCGCTGATCTGATCTTTTTTCAATCCATCATTTACCACCAAATTAATCATATGCGCAAAGAAACCGTACTGTTTCCACCGTAATTCATTTATGGCAGCTTTTATATTTGCCGCATTGTCTGAAACTACTATCAAAAGCTTATTTTGGATTTCCCATTCTGTAACAACCCTTCTTAGCTCTTCTGCTAGATTAGTTGCTGTGTGTTGAACAGCCAAAATGAAACATTCCATTATCATTTAGGAAATGAGCGGTCACAGCCATAAAACTTTACAAACTTTTTTGCCTTTTTTAAAGATCCTTCTCATACATAGCTGGTAACATGGCTCTGGAGATGGTATGTCTACTTGGAAGCTGATATGAATGATTCAAAGCAAAAACAAAGTCTCTAAAAGCACGTTCTTCGATAATTATAGATGGTTGGTGGGTGTCGGTAAACAATCGTAGTAATGTATCATCAATTTTTTGTTTACATTTAGGAGTTACTCTCTTTGGAATATAAAGATCCATATCTGTTTGAAAATGTTTAGTTTTCCGCACTGTTTCGATTTTTCTTAAACTCACAGAATTCAGTGGCATTTTATCAACACTAATCTCTTCTATCTCCGTTTCTCTTGGATCTCAAACTTGCTTGATTGGTTGTCCTGAAATTGCTGATGCCCCTGACTGGATACTTGTCACAGGTGGGGCTTGCCTTGATAAAGTGACCTACAATCATATTAAATTACACTATTTGTGTCTTCATTACTCAGATTTATATGTATAAGATGGATATATTATTGTTTAAATTTTTGGTACATGTAGTAGGAGAGCTGGTAGACATTTTGGCAACGTATGAAAACTATGAAAACTTGTCTACTGCATCTTACGTAAAAAAGTAATAGGAACCATTTTCGTTTAGAACTTTACAACACTTTACGAGATAATTCCCCATTACCTGGAGTACAAGTTAAAATATTCTCGCATCATCTTTCAGGTAGGACGTCCCACCAGAATGAACTTATTTTAAATATATTATTTTTTAATCATAAATACTAGTTTATGAGAATCTCAAAATGCCTCAAATATGTTTTTTCGATATTTTTTTGAAAAATACCTTTTATAACCCATGGGACGCCAATGGCCCATTGACCTTCAGCCAGTTCTGTACTTTTGTATTCAGAAATAATAGAAGAAGCACAAGCAGTAGACAAGTTTTCATAGTGCCTCAAATACGTTACCAAAATGTCTACTAGCTCTTGGACTAATACGTTAAAATACTTACCGATGCACCTTCGGGATTTAATGACACAGCTGGGTGTTTTGACTACATGTGTCTTCTCAAATTCGTGGTACTAGACTTATATGATATTTTGGCTGCACACATATTGCATTTTGCGAAATTTTCGTCGATTTCGGAAAA